CAGAGCTGTGAACAAGACTTACATCTCTGCTTCTACAGCCACAGACTGAAATTTCAAATGGTGATGAGTAGTTTTTAGTCTCTTACTCTTGGAGGTATTTGACTTAAGAAATGAGAAAGGAATGACTCTCATTAACAATTACCCCTACACTTCTGTAAATTAAATAATTTAAAGAGACAAAAGTAAACTTGAAGCTACCTAAAACTGAGGATCTTGAAAATATCACTCAAATCATCTGTGATCTGCAAGGCTCTTCCTGTTTGTACACAGATGCAACTGTTCTTGGAAGTAAGTAAAGGGTGAAATGAGGATGGAGCAGGGATTTTTCCACATGAGGCTGTTTCTTCTTTGTAGCAACTAGGGGAGTGACAAGTTCTCTGAGAAGCCCTATGACATTTCAGAGAAAGATGCAGTTTCCCAGAAATTCTGCAAAGACCCTGACCTTCACAATGCTAGCGTTTCTACACCACTCTATACACAATGGTCCAAAAGTATAATGCAAACATGACCAGCCTTCCCAGTGCTCCACTCTGACCTACTCTGCCTTCATCACAATTACTGCAGTTGGACTAAATGATCTTCCCTTCCTACTGAACTATTCTGTTCTGTTCTGGAGGATCAGCACTCAGCATCTGGGTTAGTCACATTGCACAGCAAGCCCTGTTTGATAGAGACCATGCTGACCCTACATCCCCCTGATTAGAGTCATACCATATCCCAGAGTTTATAAGAAACCCCAAAGGAACTGCAGGGAGCCGTGACTGTCTCTCTGGATATGCTGTCAGCATGCAAATGGTTTAGCCTACAGCCTCCCTGTAAGACTAATATACAAAGGAAAATGGTCCCTAAATTCCAACTGGTGTCCAAGCACATGACCAATTTTCAATAATAATAATAATAATAAAAAGTGTTTGTAGGTAGTACACAGACAAGAATCTGAATTAATCCCATGTCCATAACTTAGTGACAAAGTTATGAACTTCTGGCTGCCATGTAATCCTCTGCTCTGGTTTTGGAACCAAAGCACAAAACCTTACACGAAGCAGGTGGTAGAAGCATAATGCATTTTTTGGACATTCCATACATCCTTTCCAATACATGGTGAGATAATGCTCCTTTCACATACATCCATACATTCCACTCAAATCTCATCATCTAGTAACACCATTCATAGTAAAATTCATCTGTGAAAATCATGCTGTCCATAATGCATTTTTTATTTAATTTGTGCTTTAAAATAAACAAATAATAAATAATAATTTTTTAAAAAAAGCAAATAATGATAGAAAGAAAAAAAAAAAGCTCAAAGGCCTGACTAGGTACCACAAATTTGTGTCGATTCTTATCCCTTGTTTAATTCAACCATATACGCCCTGAGTCACCTTGGCAAAAGGGATTTGTATACATAATGGCTTCTTAGTTTCACTGCTCCTAAAATACTGGTAGTGACACACACCTGATTCATAAGTTGTGATGTGAAGCCAAATTCATTCAGTTCTCTTCAGTACCTGAAGAGATTTATGGATGAAGGGTGCCACAGAAAAACACTGAGCAGCATGATGCTTCACTGGTTTGTGTACTTCTTTCTGCAGTATGAACTTCCAGTACAATTCCAACGTGAACATACATTTAATATGTGTTCATACTTTTGTATTTCTAGTAACATTCTCTAAGGAATGTCAAAGATCAAAATTTAAGAAATAATTGCTCTGTAAGTGCATGCTATTAGCTTGCTTTGCAAATGGGAAATAAATAAAAAAAAAAGCTATGCTTCCTTGTAAGCACAGGGTTGACACTGGTTTATTTCTTTCAAAAAAATATTTGAAAAAGCCAGGATTTCTCTGTATATATGTGACCTTGATTCCTAGATGGCACATGGACTACTTAGAGATCATGTTACTAAGTTATTTGCAGTTAAAGAGGAAAAAAAAAGGCTAAAATTAATGGGTCACTGGGTATTTTCTTCTGAGAACTTAAGTACTTAACAGTAAGAAAAAAACAGTTTACAGCCAGGTGGCTTGAGGGGATATTTTGTTGAACACTGATTAAAAATAATTTCTTCTAAATGAGACCTGACCACAAAATGGGACCATTAACGAGCAGGGACATTCTCACCAGAAAGGAAACTACGCTTGATCGACTCCTGCACCGCCCACAAACCCCAGGTCTTTTTCTCTCTCTTTCTCTCACACACTCTCTCTCTCTTTTTTTTCTCTCTTTTTTCTCTTTTCCCTTTTTTTCCTTTCCCATTTTCTTGTTCCTAATAGCAGGGTAAATAAGCAGCAAGTGATGCTGAAATGTTTTCGGCCAAAAACAGAGGCCAAACTCCTCTGAGAAAACATTTGGCCTCTGTGGTTTTGTAATATGTTCCAGAACACTGAGTTCACTGAAGAACATTGTGAAAAACTCCCATCGGCTGGAGTGATGCTGGGGAATGTTACTGTATCCCAACTTCCAATTGGTCCATTTCCTGCAGGCCTTGTTAAAAAAAAAAAAAAAAGAAAAAAAAAAAGAAAAAAAATAGTGCTATGTGGGAGTTAAAACAAGTTCTCATGGGAAAAATGAATGGCAAGAAATTCTAGCTTTAAAAGAAACAGCTAATCTGCTAGTTTGATTGTTCTTCAAAACTTACAATGAACCAATAATCCTAATTAAAAACACTTGGCCTAGTTCTCTAAAGCATCATAGCTTTTTCTATGCTTCGTTTGTACACACCATAGACTATTAGTTTTTTTCTAGTGCTCACTAACAAAGTGCTGACTTTGTTGGGATGGCTGAGCTAATTTCGTGAACTCAGTGTGAAACCTTAGCTAAACAAAATTGTGGTAATTTTCCTTAATTTGTAAAAGTGATTGGAGTGCAAACAAAATTTTCCTCTTGGGTCAATCCTATAATTTTCAATTAACTAAAACTAATCGGCAGGCATGTACTGAACCTGCATTTTGTTTAAAGGGCTGGAAGGCACTTCTGAAGGTCAGGATGCATTAATTGTTTTTATTTTACTTTCATTTAGTCCTTAAAGAAAAGACACATTTAAGTTCAGGCTGCCTGTGAAAGAACTGCAAAAAATGCAAATTGTGTGAGGTATAATTTCAGTCACAATAGCATTTCTATATCTACCATAGCTCCATAAAAGCTGCATAAGTAAGAGAATTGTCCGTGGACTGGATCACCTTTGATTTTATCATTGTTGTTTAGTATTTCATAACTTTCGTTTATTGAATGAAAAATAATGTGTTTTAAACACTAACCTGAAAATGCATAGATGGAAACACTTTCCCTACTGGGACAACTTATTTCCACATTCAACCTTTTTTCCTAGAAAAGCTATTTAATAGTGATCTGAAAAGAAAATCAAGATGGGTCCAAGTCATTTTTACATTTAAATTGCATAAGAAAGTCCCCATAAATTTCTTTGCAAAGTTCAGGGGAGTCTGCTTTCCTCCCTGCCTTCTTTGCAAACATGTTTGCTGTTTCACTGGCCCAAGATGCTGCCACCCCAGTGGCTCAACAACTAGCAGAAGGACAGCACAACTTATTGTACAAAGTCCAGAAGGGAAAGGATTCACAGTCAAACTGTCCAGAGCTCTGGCTGACACTTTGATGTGGTATACACTGCCAGTTTGCACTAGCTGGCAATTTGACCCTTTGCATTTTCTTGTTCTTTTGTTCCACCACATTCAAATCCTAAATAACTTTTTGATATGATGCGTTATTGTTCAATATATGAATTTCCCACAGATTGTTGAAATCATAATGCTTACAATAAATACACATACTCCCCACCAATGCCTTCTGCTTAGTGAGCAAAGCGATATGTGAATGCTTTAAGACCCAGCTTGAGGAAACCCAGTGCAAAATCCTAGCCAAAGGAGCGGGTATTTGGAAGAAGACAACAAAACTTTATACGGCACCTTTATTCAACTTGCTCTGTGTTAAGGAAATCAAATGACAGCTTCTTTACCCAGCTGGAGCACAGAAGTCCATCCCCTGCCTCGAGTCCATGTTTGTACACTCACAGTAGGAGCAGTATATGTGCCCAGTGTTAATTCAGTGTGCCCCATAGCCACAGGCATTTATGTTGCATATTATTCTTAAAGTTTTAGGGCCAAACAAGAATGAGGAAAGGCATTGCATTGGATTGTGATGAAGCACAGTTCAGGCAAAGTTACAGAAGCAGTAGACCTGTCTGCACTATAGGTCAAACAACAAGCACATCCAAACCCAGACCAAGACGTTAATTCTTGAAGCATGCATAACTTCCAAGGAATCAACAACACATGTTATTTTAAAAATGGTAGGCTGCTACTTGGTTCATTTCCCATTTCCTTATCATTACTCGGAGTGGTTTAGCATTGACAGTACCTGTAACATCTTAACAGTTTTGTTAATAACTCTTCAGGCCAGAGCTCTCTACTCAGTGGTCTCAGTGTGGATACCACCCCAAAACATTGCAAGTCACTATGTCTGCAGCATCAATTGTGGCAAAAGCTACTTGGCCTCCCTGGAAGGCAGAGACGAGTATGTTACAGTGAGATGGGAAGGCAAACAGGCTGCTGCTTTCAACACTTGCTGGGCCATGTCACTGTTACAACACAAGATGCAGATATTTAGCAAGATGCTTCTGGGAAACTAGGTTCATGATCACACTGGTGTGTCTGGCTCTTGATGCTTGCACATTTCTTTGGTTCCTTTAGGGACAGGAGCATCTGTTTCTTTCCTTCCTCTACACCCCCAACCCTCAGGTAAAGAGCTGTCCTACTGGGAGGACAAACAAGTAAACAGAAGTCCCACATGGGTATGCTTTCAGATTCATCTCAACACAGACCTCCATTTCAGAATCCAGCCTTATATTGGTATATTCAATGATGTGATCAGCCAAAAAAAAATAATAATAATACATGATACAGCTTTTAACGATGAAAGCTGAAGCCCTAGCAAGTGTGATATATTGCCTGCCCTATTTCTTGATGTTATATCTAGCACTAAAGTATCCTTACCTGTGTAAATGAATCTTCCAGGTGTTCCCTTACAAAACTGCTTAGACTTGTAGGACAATGTGACTTCTACAACCCCTGGGATATGTCGGGGAGGCGTCTGTACACGGATGGCATGAGGAGTAATCAGCTAGAGGAAAACATTGAGAAGGGAAAAGAGAGAAGAAAAAAGAAAAAAAAAAAAAGCACTATTAGATGCTGAATACTTCTTTAATAACACTTTCCTCTCAGATCACAGTAAACAAGCTTTGAAACATGTAATTAACCTGTCAATGTTTGAATACAATCTTGATGTAACCCACACAAAAGCCAGTGACTACAATATTTACAAGCATTCTCTTTCTCAGCCGTAACAACATTATTTCTGTTTTCATACATGGCAGGCACTCACTTCCTAGTACAAGCATCAGCCCTGGTTTAATGCAATAACTTTAGCTTACACCAGCAGGATGCCTATGTTTGCTCAAGTGAACATTGGGGTCGTGACAGTGTCCAACAAATCTGATTGATAAATGATACGCAGTTACGTGTGTGAACACAGCCCTTCAGCTGAGATTCACTGCACTGTGCAAACCCAGGCAGGCTTTTAAACACACTGGTCCCCAGCTGACATCTGTATACTGCAAAAGCACCATGTGCCGCAGTTTTAATTAGAGACCCTTTCCTATTCATTTTGTGGAGGCATAACTGATTACTGCAGAAATGCAAAGTTTGGTTTCTAAAGGAAGCTGGGTTTTTCTTTGCAACTGATCAAAGTGCTCAAAATATATGTACCAAATATAAGCATTTACCCATCAGTTCCAGTTTGCCTCCACTGCAGTGACTGACATATATCTGAGAAATCACTTGCATGTGTAGATTTACACACGTAATAAACAGACATAACTTTCTTGCTAACTGAACTGGGGACCCTGATACTCAAGACAAAATGGATGGGGTGGGCCAGTGCTTTCCTTTCTGGTATCTGTTAGGATTATGGACTGGATTTAAGTAGTGTTTATACTGGTTTCAAGTAGTTCTTGAAACTAATATTAGAGCCATTTAGGAGTTCACTAATTTATTGCAGATTAATTCAAATCTCTGATGTGTTCAGTAATTACAGAATTGACCTCGCCATCACTGAAATGTCCTCTTCTCACCCATTATGCTCACTTAGAAAAGAACAGGAAAAAGAGGTACAGAGAAAGAGTGAAATGATTGTGTCCAGCAACCAAGTTATGGCTCTGGCACGTGGATAATCCTTCTGTAATTGACTATGGCACCCTAAAACACTACTAGAGAAGCAAACAGCCACGATCAAACTAACCTTGACAATGAGCAAAACCATGGCTACCCAAGCAGTCAGCTGCTCAGTGCTGTTGGTTGCCTACTTGATTACAGAATACAATTTCATAGAAAATACTGTTTGTTTGTTTTTTTAAAGATGTTTTCCACTTTTTTTTTCTTCTTTTTTTATTTAAACAGGAACCAAACATTTCAAAATCATGGTAAGGTCCTATCAAACAATCAGCCTTCTTAAGCATGTCTTTGTTTAGGACACAGGACTATTGCTCCTAATTTATACTACAAACTGCCAAGAAAGCTAAAATTCCCAAATAAAGCAGTTTGAAAAAAAAAAAAAAAAAAAAAAAAAAAAAGAACAGAGGAGAGAGGAATGTCTGCCTGAGAGCCATCTGTGTTACTGCAGCAAATGGCATTCACAGTAGGAAATTCTCCATATTTAAAATAGGAAAATTAGTATTAGATCAAGTTGAAGATTAAAAACAAAACTACCAGCATCAAATACTCCAAACATTATTCAGATCCACACAAGTCATAAGGTCAGTCCCCAACTCATGCCATTTTAAAATGTTCATGTCAGGAACCAGTCTTCTAGTTTGTGAGCTCCAGAAAGCACGTATTCAGGCTCTGCTTTGAAATTACGTGATTTAGAAATGTATTTATTTTTAGAAGTAGCCTGATTTTTCTTTTTCTTTTTTTTTCTAAATGACTAACAAACTTTTTTTTTTTTTCTAAACAATCAAACAAACAAACATACACACACTTCCAAAATTCCTTTTAGTTAAATTGAGTTGCCTTAAAGTTGGGTCTGACCAAAGTTGTGAAGTCTAGGCTAATTCTCTGCATGCCCCCAATAGTCAACAGAAGCAGAAAGCACTGCCAAATAATAATTTATTTCCCAGGCTTCAGACACCTCTCATTTGCATAAGCTGCTCTCTGGAAGCATCTACCTTTCTCCAGTGCACTGGGATGACAAATTTAAACTAGATGCTTAACTGTAGGCAGCCAAGCACAATTGAGGTAAATCCCATCCTCAAGCAGTCGTAGTTAACTGGGTGAACTGGCAAGATGAGAAAAGTTTCATGACATTTTTAGGGGAAAATACTTGTAAAAACAGCCAAGGATTTTAATACTGAAGTTTAACATGCTAGTCTTACTGCATCAGCATGTGCCTCATGCCCCTCACCCCCATTCTGGCATGAGCTCTACAGACAGCTTCTGGTTGTATCTTTGAATTTCCCAGCATTTACTGGTCTGTCACCACTTTAATGTTCTTTAAACATAATTTGTGGCATTTTCCAATACTCATCTTCCCTGGTTCCCAAGAAATGTCTGACCTATTTATGGTCCATTGTTAAAGAGAGCTGGGGAGAGTTAAGCAAGTTTCCTGGTTTGTTCTCCACAAACAGTTTGGTTTTCCTTTGTGCTCTGAAGTAAATAAGTTTAACTGTGTTTAAAACCACAAATATACAATACTGTCGCCCACACATTCCCAAAGGGTGAACATTATGTCTGAAGTCCTATGGTTTAGGATACTCGGTATATATTTTACTCCTCTCTCCTCTGGAACTGAAGCTTGGGAGATACAGTAGAAGAATGCATGTTCCTCTTCCTTTAACTTTTTTCTCTTTGCCTTCTACTACTGCCCCTGATACAGTGCTGAGCTAGAAGGATCTTTGCTCTGTGTCAATATTCAGTTCTCATGCCCACAGAAAGGAACTAGCTAACTTGGTTACCTACCAGTATTCCCCTATATTGTTGCCATCTCAAGAAATAGGTTTTAAGGGACAAAAAATGTCACTGCACTTTAAAATCTGCCCTCTGAACCCCACCTCTGGTCTTGACCTCTGGTTCCCCAGCAATGCCAGGATCTTCATTTTGGACTGGGACCAGCTCTCTGAATCACTGTGACTCTGTTTTGCAATTGGAGTGACTCAATGGATGCTGCATAGGCCTGGGTTCGTGGCCAAATGTGCCCCTGACCCCTTATGACTCCAGGATTGTGGGATGTATTCCTGTCTACACTACTGACCCATGGCCTCACCTGAGGAACCCTCTCCACCTTTTCCTAGCACTCTTTCTCCTCTCATGCCGACAGACTATGCCTTCTTCAAAGCAGAATCTGTCCAGTATTTGCATGCAAAGCACCTGAGAAAGGTAAGATGTTAGCATCAAAATATATTAAAAATAAAGGCAGCACTTCTGGAGGCCTCTAAGACCCAAACTGTTGAAGGTTTTGGGGAGTATTCTGGGGAAGCATCATTATATGATCTCCCAGTTGTTTTTTATGTATGTCTGCCATTTCCCACTACCAAACATAAGACACAGAGCTAGATGAACCTCCATGTCTCACCCACTTAGGCTATTTTGATACTCTAACCTCACGTGAGAACACTTTGTGCATTAACAACTAACGTGCCAAGAAATACGGATTTGTAAATATGGGTTACCTACATTTCTAAGCATATTTTTCAGATGTAAATCCTGAGCAAGTCATTAGCTTGTGATTTGGAGATGAACCTGCCAGCCAAAGTCCTAGATCCAACTTCCTTTTCCAGTATTTGATAAATTGAGATCTGGAGCTGGATAGAAAAGTAGCAACAGGACCCTTTTTACCAAGGGATTTTCAAGTGAATCAGTCTGGTATTTGGCAACTGCATTAGCTGTTTTATATAAACTCCTACTTGTCAGCCGGGGACATGCTGTGGATTGGATTAAAACCTGAATTAGAGATATTCAGAATGGAGGGAGGTGCGTGTCCTTCAAAATCCAAAACACATTTAGTTCGAGTATGTACAACAAGCCTCTTTCTGTGGTTTGCTAATATATTCTAGACATTCTTGTGTGATACAGCATCATTTCACACACTGAAGAGTGCCAGGTTACTTTCTTTTTTTGAAAAGTGACATTTTACAAGAAGATGTCATTAATCTGAGTCACTAGTTTATTTTTGCATGCTTGAGCTCTGGTTTGTGGTTAGGGAAATGGTGACAATCAGCCATAAATTTAACTTGGACTCTGTGTGAGAAGGACCATTAGGACAGGAATGAAAAAAAATAATAATAATAATCCTACCCACTGAAGGTAATGAATGGCTTTCAGTGGGAACAGAGCCCTCAAGGTATCTATATTTTCAAAAGTGACCAGTGACTTTGCATGACTCAATACTGGGCATCCAGATGCTGATTAATAAGTCTTGGTTTTCAGAAAGAGGGTGCCTACCCATTTTTTAAAAAATGAGTCAGGCCTCCAGAATAAGCACACAAAAAGAAAGACTTCCAAAATCAATAATAAACATCAAAAGCAAAACAAAAAAAAAGTCACAGAATTTGATTCAGCAGCATAAAAAAATCAGCCTCTGTTTTTGTGCTGTACAAAGGTAAAAGAACTGATGTTTCAGTGCTTCATCTTTTCTTAATAGAAAAGAAAGAAGTTGTTTCCAGCTGACTCTGTGCAGCTGGAGGAATGTTCTTGGCAGGAAAATGTTTGAAGAAATAGCTCATTTTAAGCAAATATTGTGGAATATTTATAAGAAACTAATTTTGTCTTCATAATCATCTGTGTTTGTCCTGAAACTCGACTCTTGGAATTACAACCCCCCCCCACCCCCCCTCAACAACAGAGAGAAACAGCAGAGGATTTTATCAGCAGTTCAGATTTGGAATATTTGCAGCAATGCACAGAACCAGAGTACTGGGTAAAAACTGTAAATAACAAATCCTCCTGTTTGTGGACTGGGCAAACAGAAAGGCAGAGTCTATCTCACAAACAGACTATTTACTGGGAGCTGTCTGTCCAGATTCAGCATGTGCATGATATATCAAAATTATTTGTCTACCAGTTATGAAAAGTCCCTCGAAAAAAAAAGCAATAGATGGTCCATTTTACTGTATTCTAAAAATATCAACGGTGGCTCTTAAAGTCGTTTTTATGAAGTAATATGGGAGTTAAGGATTAATTGAACCCACTGGCTTAGGGTATCTGCATTTTTGCACAAAATTAATGTGACAAATTAAGTTTTTATTTAGTTCTCCCTGGCTGAGAAAGGTTGTAATTATGTTAGAGTGTTTACAACTAAAATATATGTTTAAATAATAAATATGTGTTTCAGAAACCATTTTAAACCTCCTTTTTTAACACAGTCAACTCCATTTCAAGCATATAAATATTTCAATTACAAAACTTGAATACATGTAAAATAAATTAAAAATATATTATTTACATTTCAAATTATTTATAACATATGCTGCTTGACAGCAACAAATACACCCTTAAAATGAACAATGTTTTTTGGCTTCAAATTTTGCTTCTGAACTGTGGTAGGATTTATACTTTAAATATCCATGCGTCTCAGGTACTTACAAGGATTTTGCTATAATAAAATCTGAGTAATATAGAACCTTTAGGATAATTATCTTCCCAGCACCTCTCTGAAGAAGGTGACTAATCTTATTATAATGTTAGAGAAAGGGAATTGAACTTTAAGCAGATTATGTGATTTGCCCAAGGTCCCATGCAAAGTCTGTGGCAAAATGATGCTTAATTTAAATATTAGACTTCATCTCCCAAACCACTTGCAATTACAATTTGAAGTGATGCTAGACAAATCCATGGGAAGATACTTTGCAACACTCATTATTTTTCTTTAGCTTCCTGCTGTCTAGTTTTGTTTTGGATTTTTTTGCAGCTTAGTGAAACAACGGGATGAAATTGAGAATTCTTCTTGAATTCAATTACAAAATAATTTGCCCAGGTTTGCTCAAAACCAGGCCTGACTGGCAGCTTGGTGTGAACCTGCTCCAGGTTTGAAATTGTACTGAATTTCAGAAATCAGTAGTTCAATCCTACACTCTGTTAAAGTAAAACAAAAATATTCTTCCTGAGTATCAAAAATGTGCCAGACATTTTTAGACATGGGAAGGCAAATGAACAAATTTTGTATGTGGCTTGTATATGTAATTTGAAGTATTTATAGATTACTCTTATTTAGGGTTCACTCAGCTTATGCCTTTCTGTGCTTGTTTACCATGTTTTTCTGCTTCTTTTAGAAGTAATTTATTTTCCCCTATAGAATGTCTATCACTCCAATAGGTTATGAAACCGTGAAGCAATTCTTTAAGGGAGAGACAGTGAAACAGTTTGGAGTCAAAGCCTACTCGCAGCCCATTATAGCATTCACAGCAAACACAGACTTTGATCTGGAGCCCCTCTAACGTTATTAATTTTATGGCAAGGACTTGTGACCGTCATCAACAATATTTTTACCAACTCTCACTTACCTGAGGTTAGAAACTGCCAATTAAAGGCTTCCACTAATAAATAGAATCAAGATTTATAATGAAAGATCCAATTCTGCAGTACCAAAACCAGAGCAATTTCCTCCCAGCCTCTTCACCTTTCCTTTTTAAATGTCTGTAGCCATAATGGCTTCAATCCTAACACACAAAATGCTTACACTGGACCCAGGGGGCACTTTCATGATCACATAAGGGCTTCAGAATAGGGCTCATTTAAAATATCTCCTTTTCTGGAATGCCCTTTCATCCACACTTGTCCTCAAGTGGAAGAATGAGAGAGACAGAGAGAGCAGTGAAGCCTATGAAGGACATTAGAGGATACTCTTCATATGGAAAAAAAAAAAAATAAAGCTGCTGTATGTGCAACAGAATCAGTAAGAAAAATGCACTGGATATGAATTAAGAAATATTGATTTAATATAAGATATAAGGCAAAAGATCAGAAGATCCTCATGTCATTAGGTAAGCTAGTTTGGAAATGATGGTTTGTTTCTTAACTTATTTATTTCAGTACTAAACTCCTGAATATATCAATTTCTTATAAAACTTCCCATATCCTTTTGGAAAGCCATAAAGGCAACACTCAAACCTTTCCATGCCTTTCCATGCTAGGGAAGCCAGTGGGAACTTTGTCCTGCATACTGGAATTGACCGTTTAGGTGATGCTGCCTGGGATTTAATATTCCACAGGCTGTGGGGGAATATCAGACTCCATGTTTAATAATGTTTCAGGAGAAGAGAGGATTTAGGTAGCTGGGAGAAACAGAGGAAAAAAAAAAAAAAAAAGGAAAAAAAAAGAGAGAAACAAGCAAACAAACAAAAAGGGTTACTCTGAAACTATAGAGGACATGGCTGGATATGATAAGGCTGTATTTTCCACTGTGGATACAATATTGTATATTCAATCGCAATTATGTGGCTGGTACTTACACTGAGCACCTACACTTTCAGGACATTTTATTCAAAGGTGCGGAATTTCTGCAATCCCCACCTCATTTAGCTGCAGCTACAAGTAGCCAGTTTCCCTAGACAGTAGGGCCTAAACACTTATTTCCTGTTGGCCCTTAGCTATTGTAGTGCTAAATGCAGAATTATTCAGAAAATCATTTATCCTTTCCTTTTCTTGGAGTAAAAGACACTGAGCTAAATTCTAGGCCAGTGAGAGGAGATGGAAATCCCCTGGCTATAATGTACTTCTGCCACAGGTAAATTTGACTAATTATTTTCATAAAACTGAACAAGGAAAGGATTCACATCTAAAAATTTGTTGCTGATTTAGCATGTGGCATAGAAAAAGGACAGGCTAGCTATAAGCTAGACAAAGCTATTAGACATTACCGTTCAGACAACACCTACCTCACTCCAAACCAGCATGGTGCCGAATATGACCTGTAACCCATCAAAGAAATTGTCTCCTATGATGATGACAGTGGCACCTCCTGTAGTCCATCCTTCACTTGGACTGATGGCTTTGATACATGGTGTAGCTGCTTTTCAACACACATGAAAAAGAGAAGTATTCTGCTGTTAGAACCAGATTTTAATGATAGAAGACTTGAGAAAAATAAAATAAAAGGAGCTTTCATTTTCTCCCCTTACTAACACAAAGATTTCAGCAATCGTGTTCTTTCTAGTACATGTGCATGACTTCAAACTGTATCTTTGAAAGTATTTTTTTTAATCAATTAATTTGTTTGGTTTTGTTATCCACTTAAAAACACACACACCTTAAGCCTACATCAAGAACAACAACAAAAAATCATAGCATAATAGGCAGAGATCAATTGAAAATTAGAAAAAATCCAGGCCCTATCTTTATTGTAGATGAAATGCGGAATACCTGAGTTAATAAAACAACCTCCAGTGAGCTTGCTTTATTATCCATCATAACCTAAACTACTCAAGGAAACTCCCATAAATATTATGGAAAATATTGGCTAAATAACAAAGGGTGTAACCTTCAGTATTTCTTTAAGTCTTTTGCAATGAGATCCAGTTTATTCTAGTATTAAACCACCCTGCCCTGCTAAATGCTTTAGCAACTACAAAAAAATAATAATAAAAAAAAATTAACCACAACCCTGCCACCTAGTCACCCTGGTTATGTTGCATCTTCTGGATAATTAAGAAACATGTGCAATGTATTTTGCCTTATTCATAGAGTCTGTTCCCACTTTCATGAGCCACTTTCTTGGCATCATATGTAGTAAGTGCCTCCTGAGTCGATGTTGAAAACGTGAGCAGAACTCAAACCAGTAAACTCAAATCTAGGTGTAAGATCATCTGTATTAAGACTATGTAAGCAGGAGCAATGTCAGCTTTATGTACTGGTGGGGTAGGGCAATATAAACATCCACAGACTGATTCTCCTCTGCAGCACTGGCGTACATCATAATTTGACTGTCTTGAATCCAGTAGAATAACACTACTGTAAAAACAACCTGAATAAGCCAAAAAGGCCTGGATGACTCTCAGCTGTCAAGTCTCACTTTGGCCTTACAGGTTGATGAAAACAAGTAATTCCAACTCAAATACCACCCATTTCTCCTTGCTAAAACTGCAGGAGGGAGAAATATGATACCGCGCCATTAGGTACTGCTTTAAGTAAAAAGGGTAACTCCACAATTTCATTAGCCACAAGAAATGGATACCTTAAGGAGCAGCAAAACTCCATCAGTCAGCCTCAATGTTGAAAAGGCTGATACTTCCCTTTAGCTGTGAACCCACGCCTCCACTCACAAAAGAGGCTGGATCCACTGAAATCACATGAAGGGTTGCACCATTGCCTGCACTGAGGCTTGCAATGTCATTCAGGTGCCAGTCAGCAGGACTTCGTTAGCTACATACAAATATCTGCATATATATACCTCTTGTAAGGTTGCTGGCGTTTGGTTGTCCATTACCACTTGGTCAAAAGGCTGTCTGAGCTGCTTATTTGGTTTGTAACGCTGAGTATTTGCTGGCATACCCAAGGGAGAGCACTCAGGTACTTTATCGAGTAAGGACTTGGTAGGAAAACAGGAGTGTGAAAGCCACCCACATATGAGAACAACCCAGGGTAACTTGCTTGCACCCATGAATTACTTAACATAGTTACGTGGTGGCACAGCCCCTGTCCTGCTTTTTCATAAATGTAAAGACAGTAAATTAAGTAATTCACGAAGTCTGCTTTAGAATGCTCCAGCCACAAAATGTTTAAGAGATACTGTGCATCTTTATGATTATTTAATGAAGTTCTGGCTGGTTGGAGCTAATGGCAAGAATCAGTGAGGCTGGTGAGAAGATTCCTTCAAGCCCCTGGGCAGGACAGGCAGGCACGAAGCTGGGGAGCAGGAGCGAGCTGGAAAGGGAGCTGTTGAGTCACCCTGAACAGTGAGTGTTTCTGTGGGCACTGCTACAGTGATGGAGAGCATGCACGGTGAGCAAACAGAGCCTGTTCCTACCTACAAAAGGTTGTAAGTGTCAGGCACAAAGTTTTCCACTACTTAAGCTGATGGGGATGCCAGCTCCAGCGAAAAACACAAACACACAGAAAAAAATCACTACTCTGCTTCAAACTTGGCAGAGAACAGCCGTTAACTTTTACATGAGCTAACAAAAGAAACATCCTAACATTACCATCATGAAAATGCAGCGCACACACAGAAGTAACTTCAATATGTTTAATTTGGATTCAAGTTACTTGCATAAAACTGTACATAAAACCATTGCAAAGTCCAAACCAAATGCTTTCCTTTCAGCCGAGCTCACAGCAATGGATTTACAGTGAAAGCAGCTTTTCAAAATGCCATCTAGGCCTTTCATAGAATCAAAGCTTTTCATAAATAAAAAATAAAATCACTTCCAAATTACACCCTTTCCAGTATTTCCAGTTGATTGTGGACACACACACCACAATAAAACCCAAAGATAATCAGTTTCCCATGTGTTAGAGAACAAGCTACTTTTCTTAAAGACTATAGGCAACATTTCTTTCCTAAATACCAGTGAATAAAAGCTGTTTGAGACCATAAGCCATTAACAGAAAACATATGCAAGCTTCAAAATTATAGATTCAATTCATCTTTAAAATGAATGCAAAATACTGTTGTGCAGTTGCAGGTCCCCCCTAAAGGTCTTGCTGCTTATCCTGCGATGTTCTTTGCACTGCCTACACTGTGCTACTGAGTGCAAGGTGCTGCACCCCATGTGTTGTTTGTGTATTCAGTCCTGATTTTTTATACGTGTAAGCATTTGATATCAAATCTCTGCCAAGTCCTATCATGACCAGTGGGGCTTCAAGCAGATGATCAGGTCCCTGTGCTGAACTGGAGCTGTGGGCTTTTCACTGGGATACGCTCACTCACCAAGTCAAGGTGACCACATATACATGTAATTTTATTTAAATATAAAGCCAATGAAACTGCTGCTTAAATATAAGCTCAGTGAAACTGCTGGCAATGTCCCAGGACATCTCCTCTGAGGAGACAAAGTCAGGACTTGGTAGTTTAATAAGCAAAGCGCTACCTGAGAAGCAAAGAGAGTGCTACGTGCTCCCCCCAAAATTCAGGGTGTTATTTTCCCTTGAGACCGACACTAAACCCAGGGGGACTTCCCAGCTTTCCCCACACAGCTCCCCCTTTTATCTTAAACACAAATCTCTGTAAAGACTGGAAGGGCTGCCAGAAGTTGCTGCCCCACGAGGGAAGCCACGCTGATGGCTGCGTCCTGAGAACGCCCAAGGAGACACGCTGACGGAGGCACCCAGACTGCTACCTGTTTTTGGAGGCACAAAACATATTTACACAATGACGAATTTGTGACAACCAGTGTTGTTTGAGACACTGGTCTTGCTAAACCTTTGTGTTTCCTAGGCCCTTTTCTTGGAGCACCGGGAAGGATGATGGAAGTATCAGGTCCCGGTTGCCAGCACCACCAGAGGTGACACTGGGAGGGGGCAATGCTCTGAGCTCAGCTCTGTTTATGCCCCTGCTACACACGTCTGGCCAGCTCAGGCCCTCAGCTCTTCATAGTTCTTCTGTTAATCATTTGGCAATTTGCAAAGTGTAGTCTGGAAGGTGTTTACTTCTGTGCAACCCTAGGAAAACACAGCTAGGCAGAATAATCTTTTCATTGGAGACCTTAATTTTTCACATTTTGTTTTGGTCACAAGAAAAACCAAAGCACAGAACTTTTTTTTTTTTTTAAAAACTTTTTTTTTCTCTCGGCATGCAAGGCTCCAAAATCTTAATCTGAAATTAGCTATTACACTTTTTAAAATTTCCAAGAAAAAATAAATATTTTGTTTCAAAATATTATCACTTTAGGTGCCTTTCTGTAACATCAAAGCACCATTTATTTAAAAAAAAAATGCAATGAAAGACTTCAAGCCACTTCAAATAAAGGCAATGAACTAAACATTATTGATAACACAGACTTACACAGACAGTCCAGAGAAGAATTATAATAAAAAATAGCAATTACAGATTCTTACATATATAAACTTTGTGTTTTGTTTTTTTTAAGTGAAGAGTTGGAATCTCACAGTTACCAAACTCTTTCGTTTCCAGTTACAATCAGGTAAGAATCAAAGAAACTCTCTGCTTCTGGGTTTACTAAACCATATTCACTGTATGTTTTCCAAATTCTCTTGGACTAAGGAAGAACTATTACCCCTCAAACTTGCAGCTCCTCACTGAAGGTGATGCAGCCACATCCTCCACCTGCTGAAATGGCCTAGAAATTATGAACCTTAATGAGCTGCTCTCCTTTGCATAATACCAAGACAACCCAGAGTTAACATCTGACACATTTTACTGAGCTGCTTCTGTGGTTTGAGTTAACTGACAGATTTTAGGAGAAGTCCCAAACTTACAGAAACCAATGGGAATTTTGCTGCTGACTTCAAAGCTATGGTTCCTATCAATAAATTTTAAGGATTTATGAGCAAAAGCATTTTTAATGAATTTCAAGAACAATGTCCTTCTGAAATCTTCATCTTTCCTTAGCATATATGCTGTTAAAATCTTGCCATCATCCATACAGAGGATGCTAGGTACCAACTTCAGCTCATGGGTAGCAAAAAGGAAAAGTTTTTTGCTGTGTGTATGCACCAGTGTGTTCCAGTGTTCCCCTGCTCCTCTAGCTACCCATATACAGGGGATTTTTCTTCCTTCAAACTGTGACAATAAAATGATTACCCCGCCACAGTTTAGCATAATGGTTCAGAAATGCTTGTGGCATATTGCAGAGTTAAAGTGGAAATTATTAGGTAGCTCTTCTTTGTTATAATAATGATCACTCCACAAATAAAAGCTCTTCTCCCAAAGGTACTGCAAGGCACAAAATGCTAATTCTGAAGATTATGTGTGCGCTTTTATTAAATATTACTATGCCCTGTCTGTTTGAGGGCTTCACTGCTCTGATTGTTTTATGAGTGCCATGTTAATGTCAGCCCCATCTTGCTAGCAGCAGGCACACATTTTAGCTTTTGTATGAGAGTTGATCAAAG